GCGCGCGGCGCATCTCGTAGGTGCCGCAGGTCATGATTCTATCCCACGGACACTCCCAACATTATCGCGCCCTCGACATGTTTCGGGCATTTTATGTCAACAAATATGCTGATCACCACGCACACACAATAGCCTTTTGATTATATCCACATAGAATAGAATGTATTGGGTTGACTGTTTTTTTGGGTCTGTAAGAGGTGTGTAGACGGTTGCCGGTTCCCTTTAAATCAGTTAACAGACCACGGAAAGTTGAACGCTTACCGTTGGGCGCTTGAACAAATCCTTTTTAAGATTAGAACTGGGTGGGTTTTGAGCCTTTCGGACGCCTAGGGCAGACATTAGGTGCCAATGTTGACGCTAGAAAATACTCCGTCTGGGCATAATTGTGCTGAAGGTAGGTATTTTGCGCAGAACATGTGCCCAATGTATAAGCGCCGTATGTGTTCGTGTGTCCTGCTGCTGGTAGGCTGCCTCCCATCGCCCGTAGTCACGAAAACATTGAATTTGTCACCAGACAATGCACAAGATTATGTCTGAAAGTTTAAGCAGTGATGAAGGACTATACTGCCGATTCCCAAGACCAACACTGACCCAAGCCAGAGAGCTTAAGCCCAAGACGCCCCAAGCCCGAATGGTCAAGCCCAAGCCCGCTGCTCAATACCAAGCTGCCTCCCAAGAGCTGGCGGTTTTGCTGATGTTCAACAAACCAGCAATATTTGGTACACGAGCTGCGGCCGGCGGTTCCCTCCTGTTATACAAGAGGCTCCACCCAGGATTGAGGCTGCAATCCCTGCTCTTTTTCATGCATTGAAAGACCTCACCCACCTACGCTTATACAACATGAAGCTTAGATCTCTAACTCAGCTCCTCGGTATCATCCGCGCCCGACCTCAGGTCCAACACATTCACCTCGAGTGGATAGAAATCTTGCAGGCCATAGAACGTATCCACTGGCCACCGAACCTGGTCTTGACAAGCCTGCGATATTTTGAACTGAAAGATTGCATCGTGCCCGCGAACGCAATCCTGATATTTGTCTCACTTAGACTTGGAGGCGCACCAAACTTTTCTCCTTCACCAACTGGTGTCTTGCATCACTACCCACTACAGCCTTGCAGCTCTCATCATCCATGGCAGATTCATCTTGACGACGAGAAGGCCCTCATACAGATTGCCCAGGCACTAGGGCAACATTTATGTAGTTGGCACAATCACCGGGATGGTGCAGGGATATGCAGGTTCCTAGTCTCGGTCGCTCCCGCATTAACATTGGATGGATTGTTTCTGACCCTGAAAAGTGAGGTTTATTGGGTGCCTGCATATGTTTCTGTGACTCACACCTGTTTCTGGCATCGTAGCTTATGCAGGTTATCGTACCGGATTCAGTCTCGCTGATATCTATATGGAGATCATGCTACGGCCGGAAGATATTCTTTGGCGTATCAAAGAAGCCAGCCTCAGGCTTTGCATAGTATGCGACACAGCGGAAGGTATCGCACATGCGCTGGCATCTCTCGATCGCTCATTTGCTGCGGTATCTACTCGAGACAACTCTTCGCTCACATTTTCCTGCCGGATCGAGATTGGTCCGAGATTATTCAAAAGAATCACGAAGATCGTCCCTAATCCCCTGCGATTACTTGACGAGAAGGGAAGGCTATTTCTAGAGCTCTATAATTACATGGACAAGCAGTACCTGCAGCTGAAGGACAGCGAAGAGTCGGGTGTCACTGGGGACGCAAACTCTGAACACGAGTTAGAGAACAGTGAAGAGTCGGCTCCACAGTAGTGTTGCGGATCTCTCTGCACGTCCTGACAACGTCATTGCCTACTATCACCTTTGCACACTCGCACTCGCCCTCCCCTCCCCACACCCTCCTACTGACATGCATATCCCGCCCGTTGCGTCAATCTCTATTCCCTCCCCCTGGTAAAATCTCAGCAGAACTCCCGGACCATCGCCATACGGAACCAGTCCGCAAACACGATGTCTTTACTTCGTCCTCGCAGCCGCCTCCAGCTTCTGTGTCCATCCCATCGTGCCAGCGCAATCGCAGTTGGCGTACGGCGACCTGCACCATGACATCTGTTGCCGCCGGGTCGCTTGCATTCCTCGCGCTCGCGACATTTCCGAGTGGCCGTTCCCTCCTCTGTCCGCATATGCCGCGCCAAATTTCTCGACTTGGCATTGCCCCGCAGAAGCGCACAACGTGCAACGCACACCCCCTGTGCTGCCAAGTCGGCTGCTTCGGACATTGGCCTGTCGTCCGCGTAAGCGTGAGGGGCCCTGGAAGAACCTGCTCGAGCCGACTGCATGGAGGGAATTTGAAGATGGCGAAGGATGAGTAGTGGTGGCCAAGAGGCAGTGCGAGGGTCAGCACGAGAATCTGCGGGAGCGTCGAGGTGAGGGCGAGGGTCAGTACGGGGGCGGATGCGGCGCTGGATTGCTGTAGACAGAAGGGACGAGCTGGACTGCAAGAAACAGACCTAGGTTCTGATTTAATCCTCATCACGTTCATGGCGAAGGTCATTATCCACAAGTTTGCTTGCTTTGTTATCGTACTTGATTGATGTGCTTGACTGTCAGAGAATTATCCCAAAGATACGTGATCCTTTACAGTAACCAATGCTATGTATTAATTCTCGTCTACTAGTACTAGATAGAGACGTGAATCAGTCACATGAGGATGTAGGCCAACACTTGAACGTACCGCCAAACATCAGCAAAAATTGCATTCGTACAGCCCCACATCAGCGACGTCGCAGAACTCGGCGGGTACCAGAACGACACTCCCATGTGCTCACGGCCCGGGGCGAGGCAATAATCCGACATGCTGCAAGTACGATGCCTAAAGGGTTGGACCTTTTGTGCAACGGATGTCAGCTTTTGCGGCACCAGAAAATCAAGGACAGAGCGAGATTCTGCAAAGGTCCGCAGATGCCAAGCGAGCGAAAGCTAAATTTGAGACCGCCTGTGCGACGCCCAGAGGGCCACAATGCGTTCGCGCATATTACGAATGGTGGAAACGACTTGATGGCGGAATGGACAACGAGGCCAACATCTTCGATAAGGTGGTGCCCTGTGTGCGTGCTGACAAGCGGCAGGATTACCAGGTTCCGTGATCGAATTCTGTGCTACGGTCAGACGAGAGGCGGAGGGTCAGGTGCGAAGAGACCAAGACGAATGACGTTCTTCTGTGGCAACTCCGCAGGGCACACTTGATCGTACCACGTACGTACGAGTCGCAATAGCCTAGTCCTATTGTCTTGTCAGAAATGCATTCGCCGCGCTGTGAGTTCGGGACACACCTGCGTCTGAGACCCTCGGATCGACACCATCCACAGCCGTGCGCGGGTTCTCGGAGCAATGCGTAACTAGGTCCTCGCTTCCCCGAGGCCCTGAGAGGCATCGCTCTCCGCTCTGGCCGGCGAATTGAAGCCGTTGCGTCCATTGCTGCACCACTAAAGGATTTGCGCTGGGTATCGTGCAGGTCGGGTGGAACGTACCAGTTAGATCGTCGTGCATGCCGTTCGCTGGTCTGAGTGTTGTACACATCTCGTAAGCAGAGCGTTTGGGCCGAAGGAACAAGTGGTGGGTTGCAACCGGTCGCAGAACAATGGTGAGGACTGGGCGCAGCGATTCTGGTGGAATACTTTGTCAGAGATCGTATGAAACTACGGATGCGTGTTTTGGATAGCATACCTATAAGTAAATTGAATTGGCCGCCGGAAAAGCGCAGCTCACTATGTCGGCCGCAGCAGCGCTCTCCTCGTTGCACGGCTCGGTGTCCAGAGCTTGCGCTCTAGAGCAGCGGCAGGTTCAAGGAACACAGTACCTTGATGGCTGGGCACCCTTCGACAATTTGCTGCTTGTATGGTGCGGGAACAAGGGCGTGAGACAGTCTTGAGCCGGAGGGCTGTGGCAGCAGAGATGATATTTGGCGGTATGACGACAAGGGGCTACCTCAGCATATTATCTGGGCATAGAGCGACAATACTAGCTGCTAAATGGCAGTGCGAGCAGTATGCAACGTACCTGATGGATGCGCAGGCCACCAGCATCATTGCAGAGTCGGCCTGTGTACGAAACCAGTGTTTGACGCAAAGTAAATGAAGTGCCAGGGATTCGGGAATGCGGGAACGCGAGATAGATGCTGTATCGCGGAAGGGCGATCAGGGAGCGTAGAGAGTGGCGAAGCTCGGAGCGCACTTGTAGGTCTCGCGTCAAGCAGAGACATTGAGTGTCACAGCAATAGAGACATTGGCTCGCTGTCGGGCTCGTATCAGGTCAGGTCAGGTCGAGAAACGGAGATATGCGTCGCTCTTGGCAAACGCCCACGGCAGCACAGAGGTCCATATTTGGAAGGGCCTGTCATTCGCCGGAATGCTCAATGAACAGTATCATCTCATCCTGGTAGTCTAGGTCACTGATATCCAAATACTCGAGGACATTAGAATAATCCAACTCTGTCCTATCTGCACACAGACCAACGTGCTTGTGAAGCCCCAAACGCACCATTGTAGCTATGACAAATCGGATCATGGCAACGTACAGGAAATGAGGTACCAGGCGACACGGCCCTCGAGACGATGGCCAGAATGGGCCCAAAATATGTACGCTTCTTCATAGTTGGGACGCCGAGGGCTGAAATAGACGAGCATCAGCCTGGAAATGCGCTGGCCAGCCAACAGCAAAATTAAAAAAATTAAAAAATTAAAAAAAAATTAAAAACATGTTGGCGCGATCGCCCAGCACCTGGCTGAACATTTCATTTGTTCATTAATCATCTATTAGTACTAACACGGAAACATGAGTGAGCGACGGGGCATTGTGACAGAAGACATCAACATACCGAAAAATATCAAACGAAGCCTTCTCGGCGTTGACCGCGCACGGTGGATACGTACACCTAATCAAGCCAAGCAAAAGGCTCAGGGAATTGTCACCAGCTACTTGCGACTGTTTGCAGATCATGCTGCTGTGAACGATGATCAGACAGCCATGGCCTGGAAGGCACGAGGTAACATAGTACGATGAAGTTCACACCGTCATGGTGCCAGCTCCGGGGCTGGCCGTGGAAAACCTTGCTCAAGGGCGCGGATAGGAGAGGTCATATCCACGGCAAAGGAACAGCGATTGGCGTGTAAGTCGCCAGGTACCGTCGTGCTGGAGCGAGAGGAGAAGCGGAGAAGTCTGGTGCGAAACGACAATGACGTATAGTCCTCTCCTGGGGTCGCTTCGCGAAGTACGCTCGACTGCGCCATCACTATACCGTAATCTGGATGCACAGCCCCATCAGCCATCCGCATAGAGGCACTACAGGTTCAAGACATACCTGGATCTGGATCGTTGGGTTGAGAGTTTGGATATGGTGGTGTCCATAGAACATACGGGTCGGCCCAAAAATCCTCAGGCACTGTAGGCCGCAGCGAGCGCGCGACGTTCGCGAGCGTGTCATCACCGGACAAGCGAAGGACAAAGGGTCACATGAGGCCTGCATGTGCAGTGTTTGCGCGTCTGTTGAAGCCAACGTGGACTGCGTCAATGGTGCCGAATAGGTGTCGCGCACGTGCAAGACCATGGATTCGACAAGCTAGGAGACATTGGTCTAGGGCCGATGCGGGTGGGGGCTCGGCGTAGCGCACATGGCGGCATCAAGAGAGGCTGGTGGCTGTGAGCAACGCCGACCTCGAGCAGGATATACAGAAAATGGGGCGCAAGTGCAGGTAGCTGTGCTGGCATTGCGACATTGATGGCGGGGTCCAGGTTTTTCGGCGTCCCTTTGCCGCATCCCTTCGGAGAAGCTCGTTGCTTGCCATCCAGCATGGCACCGGCGGGTATGAATCATCTGATCATATATGTAGCGTTGAAGTGCAGATTATATGGTGAAGCAGAGAGTGCAGGGAGCGTCAAGTGGTAATATAGCGTGGGGACCGAGCGACCACGTCTGCGACACGAGACTCTAGCTGTGCAGGTGGTCAAAAATCCTGGCGGTACGGGCCTCAGTCCTCTTGTTGACACCTTCTTATCACAGCAGCACGCTGGTCTGTCATTCACTTGTGTCAATAGGCACCTCGTATACCACAGGAAAGCAGGACGCACCATGCTGACAATCACATAGGTCTGTTTGAAGCAGCAGCTCCCGAATGACCCGCACACGCTGCAACAAAAGACGTGCTTGGTGGACCATGGCGCGATACGGAAACGTCTGGCACGCCTCGAGTGCGTTCTTGGCGTGGGTCTCCCAAGCTTGAGCGTAACCTTGGGTTAAGGGCAGTTACTGGGAAGAACAAATGCGGACCGATACCATAAGTCAAGACCTTGCGTTATATGACTTGAGATCTGTGTCGTCTATCTGTTAGAAAGATAAGAACGGCCGCGTCATGGACAGACACGTACCTTGAACAGGGAATTGGCCAGGCCAGCACGGCGAGCAGCCAGTGATGGAGAAATAGAAAGTGCAGGGACAATCTTGCGCATGATGCTGCCTCATACAATACGCTTTGCCTACCGTGAGGTGTGAGTACTCAGAAATAAAAGAAACACAGATTCGTACGCGCCAAGGCCAGCCATACTTGTACCCCGTACTTCCCCTCTGCGCACTCGCACAGTTCCTCTTTGGTTTAATCTGCCTGTAGCATATGGTGTAACTCTTCTACGCACATGGATAGGATGTCAGGGCACCACCCAGTGTTTGCTGCGGCAGCCGCGTTGAAGTATATTTTTGCCTGCTTGGTGCGATCAAGTGCATCTGCCGCGGTCACGATTGCCACAGGAGTAGCCTGAGGTGCTAGGATACAATGACAACCAAGGTGAAAGAAGCTCCCGCCGGTAACAGCGGCGAGAGAAGCGAGAGGGTGGCGTCAAAATCAGTCTTTGGCGCTATATCATTGATGCGCCCTCTTTGATGCGCCAATCTAGACCGAGATCACCGATCCGTCGCTCCGGACGCTTCAAAGCGGCGCCGTTGTGGCTCTGCGCCACAACCATGACCGTGGACAGCAGCCACATTCCTCAAACCCTCTTTCTCAACACATGAATTCGCGTTACCTGAATGCTTCGATGCGGTACAACTGCACGTAGCGTCGTTGTTGCCGAGACTATGCTCACGCACGCCAGTGTACGCTCGTCTCATTACCGTTCTCTATCGCTCGCACGCATGATGATTCCACACACTCCTCTGTCGAAGGCAGTTCTTGAGCCAGGGCAGCCGCCCATTACGTACTCACTGAATACAGCTGCCAGCTTACCTACTAGTAGTACTGGGATTTCTACAACAAGCTGGGCGCTCTGCACTGCGTTCACCTGTGCCAATCGGAGCTCTGTTCTTGCCACTCTCTATGAGGCTGTGGGCTACATCTTGCAAGTGCTGATTTTCTCAGTGGCCACAGCTGTGCCACCATTCAGGAATGTGGCCCCTTCCGAGCCCGGTGAGCATCTTATTTGGTATGTTCTGCCTTGCACACCGAATGCGTGGACGGATGGACATGGGACTCGGACAAGCGTTGTGACTACTAGCACAGCAAACACAGGCACCATCAATCCGATGGCGTGAATAAGAATGGCGTTCGGCAGGTTATTGAACGCACTCTCCGCTTGTAACATCAGACTCTCAAATAATCCGGAGTGCCTTGGGAAGTGGTGAGCGGGTTTAAAAATGGTACGCAGAGGAGAGAGGATGCGAGCTTGAATGGATGGATAAGGGCAAAAAGTCGATATGTGTGCAAGTGACAATCAGGAATTCTAGTTGTACACTACACAATGTGTGTCCAGGTTTCTCTTCTCTGTGCTCTGCTGCTGAGTAATTGCTTGCAGGTAGACCATAGTACCAGAATGTGAATGCTCATCTCACAGCAATCTAGTGTGCGCGTACAGATTCCCTATGTCATCCAGCCCATTGCTAGACTTTTTTTGATTTGTTGATTGCTGCAGCCCATCGGGTCCCGCCAGTGTCTGGAAGCATGCGACCAGTGCACCGCTGATTGCGACGTTACTACAACGCTAAGTCTAACCTGATGCGAGACTTTCTGCATTCCTTCACCTGTTGCCTGCACAGCTTTTGCAACTACCCCTGCTCTGCTTTCAACGCTATCTTCTCCCCCTGCGGCAGCAATGGCATCCACAGCCACGCAGACACTGGTGCCAGCGCTACATTCACACCCAATCTGACTACGCTGATTTTGCCACAACATGCGCAGTAATTGGTAGGTGGCCTATTATTCTGCTCTTGTCCAGATCACTGAGCTTTGAAAGTCATCACAGACGCAGGTCCACAACGGCTAGGCATTGATCGCATCCGACATACTGGCACCCATGAGAAGCTGGCAGCGGCCCAGGGTGGTGCGCAACGGCGCTTTAGAAGCAACCAGTGATAACTATTGATAGGAGAGTGCACAGCCAATTCATTGGCTCATTCATCTCCGCGTGCTGGCCTTGGATGCGATATCGTACACGTTGCACCTGTGTGTGGTGGTACTCGCACTGTTGGGAATAATGCAGTATATCAAAAGGCTGTGTACCTTCATAGAGCTTTGTGGTGCATCCACAACGGCTTCTTCAAACCGTATCTGCGTACAAGCTGTGCATGCATCCTATAAAATATACTATGTTTGAGTGTTGTGGTAAAGCTTGCTTTCCTCACCCTCTTCTGATTACGGAACTCTTCAAATATTATCCACGCTTCCTCATTGTGCCGATGCTCAGTAATCTTCCTCCTGCATGTTTCTATCAGGAAGGCTTAGTACTGGATAAGAGCCTTCCCAACTCCTTTTTCAACTATGGATATGGAGTATTGCCAGAGAAGTGGGGCACGCTTACATACTTCGATGCAGATTTGGACTCGAACCTTGGCCAGGATAAACGCATGGTTTACATGATGTTCAATAACCACCTTGGGGTGGAGTCATCAAAAGCATATGTCGCAGAATGCAGTGCTCATTCAGGCCTTCTGTTTTACTACTATGAAATTTCTGTTAATACACTCTTCTGCAACGATGATTCAAAGTGAGCTGACAACTCAACAGCTTCTAGCCACAACTTGCACTGACAGTGTTCGCTTGCTTATTCAGCATCCATATAATGATGGTGTCCGTATCCAATTTGCTTTGTCTGTAGTGGCCTTGATGACGAGCTTGAGAATACAGCATGGTTGGTGAGAGCTGTGACAGGAGTGCTCCGAGAGGCTACCAGTTACCAGGACTTAAAGTTTTGGTACCACCGCCGCTACCTACAGTTCAACTTGAAGTTCAACTTGAAGTTCAGGATGATGGTCTACTATACCCAGGCTACTTTAAAGAATTCGTAGCGGGCGCATCCTCTCTTCCCAGGGAAAGTACCATTGCAGGTAAGCTCATGGAAGCTGTGGTATGGCTTGTTTAGTTGTAAGCCAACCGTACATGCTTTGCAGCAGGAGATATACTAGGCTGTGGGTTCTCGCGCCCTGAGAGTCACATATTCTTCACTAGGAATGGTATAATTATTGGTAAGGCATTATTGTGACTATTACGCAGAGCTCGGGCTAACACTATTTAATAGCTTACCCCAGGTATTTCACAGGACACCAGTAAATTCTCGAGCTCAAAGATGGCATGGCTACGCCCAGTCATCTCTGTGACCTTTAAGAATCATTGCAACATACCAATCCTGCCAGAGCTTTACTTGGGCACTACTGTCAACTTTGGGCAAGATAGTTTTGCCTTTGACATAGCACACTATACAGAGTGCTACTTTAAGCAGCGGAGACAGCGATTTGAGTGTAGTGCTGCGTCGCTACTCGACAAAATCATTGTGACGATCGCTGTATTTGCTGTAGAAATCATTGTAGCCAAAGAGGACGTGTAAGCCATTTCTTGTCTAATGTGCTGTTGGGGTCAGCCCAGATGCTCTATTGTAAGCAGTATTGGCCGCATCTCACTTCTGACCTCACTTGCCATGGTCAGCCACACCTGGCAGACAATCTGTCATCCTATGATGTTCAGTGAGCTCCACATTCAGACTCTGGCTCAACTCCACCGCTTGTGCATCATCTTCAAGACCGCAAAGATCTCAAATCCTCCACACAAGGTGCACATAGGTGCCGATAGCGATAGAAGGCCTAAATACAACAAACCTCCCGTTCCAAGCCTGGCATTAACTCTTTCGTCTGTGGGTGGCCATCTTTGGCAAATCAACAATATTCAGCAGACGAGTTGCGGCTCGTGGTGGGAACCTGTGATACAAAAGGCTCCACTGCAGATTGAGGCTGTGATCCCTGCCCTTCTTCGTCCATTGAAACACCTCACCCACCTACACTTGTACAACATGAAGCTCAGATCTCTGACTCAACTCCTTGGTATCATTCGTGCCCAGCCTTGGATCCAACACATTCACCTCGAGTGGATAGATATTTTGCAGGCCACCGAACGGTTCTACTGGCCACTGAATGCTGTTCTAATGAACCTGCAATATTTTGAACTGGGATACTGCAGAGTACCCGTGCATACAATCCCAATACTTCTCTCATTTTGACTCGGAGGCACACCAAATTTTTCTCCTTCGCCAATTGATATCCTGCCATTGTGCTCCCTATTACAATCTCGCAGCTTCCATGATCCACAGCAGATCCATCATGACGACGAGAAGGCACATGTACAGATTGCCCAAGCTCTAGGGCGACACTTATGTAGTCGACACAATCATCCTGATGGTGCAGGGGTATGCAAGTTTAGTATCTTGGTTGCTTGCGCATTAACATTGGCTGAACTGTTCCTGGCCCTATATGGTGAGGCTTTTTGGGTACCTGCACAAGTTTCTGTGACTCACACCTGTTTCTGGCATTGTTACTCATGCAGGCGGGCCTGGCTCCATTCAAATCTATATGGAGAGCACGCCTTGGCCGAAGGGTATTCTTTGGCATATCAAAGGAGTCAGCCTCAAGCTTGGCGTACTATGCGACATGGTCGAAGGCACTGCCCATGCGCTGGCATCTCTCGATTGCTCATTTGCCGCAATATTCACTGGCAACAATCCTTCGCTCACATTTTCCTTCCACATCACGATTGATCCGAGATTGTTCAAGCGAATCACGAAGATTGCCCCTAATCCTCTGCGATTGCTTGAAGAGAAGCGGAGGCTAATTCTAGAGTTTGATGAGGACAACGACCATGAGTCTGAGCTGGAGAACAACGAAGAGTTGGTCACTGGGGACACAGACTCTGAACACGGGTCAGAGGGCGATGAAGAGTCAGATACCTCCACACAGTAGCGTTGCGGATCCTGACCATGTCACCATCTGATATCTGCTTTGCACACTTGTACTCTCCTCCCAAATTTCTCCAACAGACATATACACGTCCTTTGCATCAATCTCTGTTTTCCCTCCCTAATAAAACCTTAGCTGAGCCTCTAACCTGGCCTTGTACGGCACCAGTCGGCAAACGTGACATCTCCACTTTGTCCTTGCAGCCATCCCCAGATTCCATGTCCATTCCATCGTGCCGGCGTGATTGCAGTCGACGCGTGATAATCTGCACCACGACATCTACCACCGCCAATGTCACCTGCGTTCCTCACACTCGCAAATGTCTCCGCGTGGCTGTTTCCTTCCTCCACCTCATGCATGCCGCACCAAGTTTCCCAACTTCGTGGCGCCCCGCAGAAGTGCATAGCACGCATGGCGAGCTCTTCGTGCGGCCAAGTCAGCTGCTTCAGACTCTGGCTATTGTTGGCGTGTGCATGAGCTTTCCTGGAAGAGCTCGATCAAGTCGAGTGCGCGGAAGGAATTCGTAGATGGTGAGGCATTGATGGCGGAGGCGTGGCAGGTGCAAGACCCAGTGTGAGAGCCAGCGCGCGAACCTGCAGAAAGGTTGAGGGTGGGGAGTTGATGCTGCACCAGATTGCTGTCAGACGGAAGGGACAAGTTGGACTCGGGGGAACAGATCTACCTGTTTTATTTAGTCTCCATTGTGTTCATGGCGAAGGACATTACCCAGATTTATGTGCTTTGTTATCCCACTTGATCAACGTGCTTAACTGTCAGAGCAACGTCATAGACATGTGCGATTTCTTTACGGTGACCAATGGTATGCATTTATTTTCTCGTCTACTAGTACTGCTCAGAAACGCAAATTAGCAACATGAAAATGTAGCCAAGTATTTGAACGTACGATCAAGTATGCTCTGAAATTGCCTCCATGTGGCCCTGCGTCTGCGTCATCGCAGGAGCTGGTGAGCACCTGGACAACGTCATCAAATGCTCACGGTGTGGGGCGAGAACATAAGTTGACGCTCCCCGAGTACAATGCTGAAACAGTCAGTGTTGCCGGCTCGGAGCCTCCATGAAACAGATGTCGGCTGTTGCAGCGGCAGAAAATCAAAGACAACATGGAAGTCAGCAAGGGTTTGTAGATACTGAGTGAGTGATAGCTGGAACCTGTGACTGCCTGTGCAACACCTGGAGGACTCCAATGCGTTCGCACATACTATGAACAATGAAAAGGTTTTGTTGGTGGGAATCGATAACAAAGCCAACGTCTTTGATGGGGCGGTAACCTGCGTGCGTGCTGTCAAGTGACAAGATCGCCTGGCGTCATGATCGTGTTCTGCGCCGTGGCCACACAAGAGGCAGAGAGGTCCAGTGTGAAGAGGACAAGATGCACGGTATTCTTCTGTGGCGGCACATATGACCGTACTATGGAGGTGCGAGGTACAGCAATCTAGTCCCATTATCATGTCAGTGGTGCATTCAACGCTCTGTGAGTTCAGGACATACCCACATCTGAGACCGTTGGGTTGACTCTGTCCTAGCTGTACACGGACTTCCACAGCAAAGCGTACTAGGGGCCTCATTCTCCAGGAGCATCATTCACTACTGGTCGAGAATCTGAAGGCACAGCATTCGCTGCTGCATAGCATGAGATTTGTGCCAAACATCATACGAGACGTATTAAAACACGTCGGTTGTATAATCATGCTTGCTGCTCATTGACCGTGGTAGTGAATGTATCGTAGATAGAGTGCTCGGGCTGAAGGAGTGAGTAGAGGGTCACGGCTGATTGCAGAGCTATGGCGAGGGTTGGATACAGTGATGCTGATGAAATACTTGGTCAGAAACTGTACATATCTACGGATACATGCTTTGAATGGCACAACTAGCAGGTAAAGTCACACTTGATACATGTATTTGGTCTCAAATCCACCTCTGCGATAAATTGGTGCAATGCATCAATGGAGCGATATTTGGCCTATTAGACAGGCTGATGGCTGTCAGAGAAAAGACAGACAGCGATGCATTGAAGCAATGCAGGAAGCAGTAAACTGACCTCTGGGAAAGCGCAGCTGACCACGCCAACCGTGAAGGCACTCTCTTCGTTGTGCAGCTGAGAGCAGCAACGGCCGCTTGGGGAACACAATGCCTTGCAAGCCGAGCAACCTTTGACGGCTTGCTGCTCGAGTGGTGCAGGAACAACGGCGTGAGGGTGGTCTTGAGTTGAAGGCCCGAAGATCGACTGTGGCAACAAAGACGATGTTCTGCGACATAACAACAAGGGAGGGGAAATGAATATATGCGCTTTCTTCAGTACATCTAGGCATGCAGCGATGATGTTAGCTGTGGACTGGCGAGGTGAGTTGTGTGCAACGTACAAGATGAACACGCAAATGACCAGGCCCCACCAATATCACTGCAAAGCCTGGCTGGCGAGCGGGTGATGCCAGTGCCTGATAAAGAGCACCAGAAGTCCAGCAGCGTGAGAGAGGAGCTGTAACGCGCTGGGTCAAGGATGGCAGGGCCTGAGGCCTGAGGAATGTCACGGTAGAGGGCCGCAACCGTGGTTACAGAGTTCAAATCGCATCTGCAGGTCTTGTGTCAGGTCAAGTCGAGTGCTGGAGCAACTTTGACTGGCTGTCCAGCTTGTTGTCCGAGTTGTAACATGGATATGTGGATAATTCCCATCGTGGTTGAGACACGTTGTCCGTGTGCTAACACCACCACCGGCAAACGCTGAAGTGACACGATAGCCCAGTTTTGGAAGGGGCTGTCGTTGTTTACCAATGCACCTCGACGCTCTCGATTTCAGTACGTGCCCGTAGTGATAGCCAAGAATGAACGATACAAATAGCAAAGTGATTGAGGAGTAAGCATTGTCCAGCTTTAACTGTACAGACAGTCTCTCAAATCTTAAGCCTTAGATCTCCTGGCATATGGCAATGCTCCAACACTTTTGCAACCATGTGCCGGTACGATGCACTTATCAAGTCTCAAAAGTAAAATTAACAGCCAAACTGACCGCTCATCGCGAGCCGGACCAACTACATCTACGACAACGCAGGAAAGGGAAGTACCAGCGCGTTAAGCCAACAAGTATGCGCCAAATGAGACAACAGCCTCGCGGAGTATTGTTATGGTGGGCTTGAAATTTGCGCATATTTTCAGCGTCGAAATGCCCAGAAGGTTGAACCAGGTGAGCATTCGCCTAAAAACAGCACATGACAACTCACTGCACTCGTCATCATAGATTATCTCCTTGTTACAACATCCATATGCATGAAGCCAAAGCAAACGCAAATGAGATGTCTCTGCTGTACGAAGAGCCATAGGCTCACAACTTTTGCAATACATCCATTAAGGGACCACGCAGGAAGTGTTGCAATACTTCGTAGGTTGTCTCTATAGGACTGTCAGCAGGCACCTTGTATTAGCACTACCTCGCTTGGCAGCCTATGGCATGAGGGCAATCTGTTGGGCCTTGAACGTTGTCATGACATACATCCTGATATAGTCTAGAACATTGGAGACTCACCTTACTCGGTCGGTATACATGAGGCTGGCGTAATAACAGTAGAATAAGGTTCATCTGAGTAGTTGCAGCTGATCTCTGCTTAGCGCGGCATGCTCAGTGTACTAAAAGCGGTATGATATGTTCAAATACATCAAAACAAACTTATTTCTGCAGAAAACATATATTGATGTTAGTCATGGACTTTTTTTATTTCATTGTAGCTTTATGTGCACTGCCTGTACATATAATTTACAATATAAACATGTCTCTATACCACTCACCGGCTCAGACTTGTTACTAGTAGCGCAAGTACATGATGTGCAGCAACATGTCTGTTGTAGCATACAAGCGTGTGGTTCTATATGCGAGAGCATACACAGATGCATACTCACCTTTCTCTGTCAGCAGCACTTTTCAAACTTGCTCTGCCGACCAGTGATGCGAGTGCAGCTGACGCCAAAGTGTAAGCGCCCGACGTTCAAATTCTGCTAAGTCTTACTCTCCGTCCTAACTTGCTCACAGGGGGTTGTATAGCATATGGGTGACAATGTTATATGTCAATATCATAGTGTATTGGGCGAAACATATACTACACTAATGTTGTATATTGCTGACTGTCATCCTCATTGTCCGAGAACTCGAGCCCCTGTATACACAAGTCATCATCTGAGTCTTCAAAGCACCCTGCTAGCGAGCCTTCGTCCTCGACCTCTGATTCACTTGCCTTGCTGATGATAACATGAGTCTTGTCAATACCTCTCTCGGTGAGACCTTCTACTGGCTCGTTGAACATGTCAGACACATCGTACGAGCCTGCGGGCAATTCTGCTGCAGCGACAGCCTTCCTCGGGGACTGCTTTTTCGGAGACGTCCACAGAGTATGAAACTTTGCTTTTAGCCAGCGGCGGTAGAAAGCCTGCCAGGCGGCGTATGCCATACAACCTTGGAGTTCAATGTCAGAGGTGCTGTAGTTCCCCGCTTGACCTTCACGCACGTCCCACAGAAGGGCTTTGTGCTCAAGTGATTCCATTGTACGTTTCTTCTCCTCTGTGAGCCACAGACATTCCTTCTTGTGGCGTAAATGGCGCGCTTTTGCACGGATGAACTCGTCACAAAGGGCTAAACAATGCAGAGCCAAAAAATTATCAGTACAAGAGAAGGATTAAAGTAGTAAGTCACGCACCTGGGGCCATTCCCTCTAGCTCTCCCATGAGACCAGTGTTGTCTGCTCCAAGCCAGATCCATGATGTCGTCCTTTGCCCTTCAGAGATGTGCTTCTTCTTCTTTGGCAGCTTCTGCTGTTTCGACTTTGAGATCTGTTTGCGCTTCTTTCCTTGTTTGCACAGCTCTTCATCTATGTGCTCGTCTTGGTCTTCGTCGTCAGATCCTAGGCCATCGTTGTACAGCACCGCCTTTGCATTGATAGGGTTGTCCTTCTTGTACAGAGTGCGCACATCTTCTGGCTTGAGAACTTGCCATGTCTTCTGCCAGTCCCCACTGCCTGCCAAAGCGCACTTTGCCCTCCACCCAGCATGGTATTTCTCAGTGAATGCCCTGATCTTTGCCTCGTTAATGAGGAGCTGGCCTCGAGTCCGAGTGCAGTGCTTTTGGTGGTGAACATTTCGGTTCTTGAACGCGACAAGCCGGGTCTTCACATGGAGCTGCGCCCGTAGCTTGTTCAGGCTGTTGTGTAGCTGAGCATCATGAAGACGCTCTTTGATCTCTGCAAGACCTTGTGAGCACAAGGCGAGATCTGTCTCGTCTAGCTTCTAAGGGAGAAAGAGTCTTTGATCTTCGGGCTGCTCACGGGGGTCATCTGACAGAGTAAGATGTGAACCAGAGGCAAAAGCAGCAGTACATACATGTAGAAGGGCGTCTTGCTCCCTGCGCGCTACGAGCAACGGCACGACGGGCATGTAGATCGACTGGACCTCTCTGATGGTGGTGATGTGCCACTGAATTGCTGTCTGCTTCTCAAATAGCTCAGCAGTCTGCAACGCCGTGCTGCACATCTTCTTAGGGTACTTCAAGTGAAATCGGTGCCCTTGAAAATTTGATTACCCAAGTACACAGTCTAACAAAGAACACCTTACTGCTGATCTTCTATCTCCAATAATTCGATGACCATATTTGCAGGACTGACGCGGTGAAGGGGCAGGTCTCCATCTTGAATGGTGCGGTTTTCCTCTTCCATCAGCTGCAGGCAAATATCAGCCTCAGTCATGCCTGCAGTAGTGCACATTAGCTTGGCCACGGCAAAGCGGTTTGTGTACAGACCTGGAATTTCTCTGTTGTATGGGTCTGGCAAGAAAGGATCATTCTCGTATGCTTCCACTTCTGTCATCCACACCTCAGCATGTTATCCGGTGAGGCGCTGGCAGAACCCATCAAAGATAGACAACTGGACAGCGGAGTCCTTATGGGCTTTGTGGGGTTTCTTGTCCAACATCTCGCCTGCGTTGTTGTCATCATTTCAGAAAGCCAACTTAAGGTAAATAACTTTGCTTATCCATATCAACATATTTCCTGATATTTGCATAGTTGAGATGGTCTTCTAGAATGTCTTCACGGGATCCGGAGCCCATCTCACGCATACTTGAGGACGTCTGGTTGTGGCATGCCTACGAGTGTTCAATCTCCTCACCATCGGTACGCCCTGCGCCTCGCATGTAGTTGAGAGAATATTGTGTATGGCCCTGGACTTTGTGTGCGTTGAAGTGATATTTTGGAATTGCGTAGTGCAGATCACCCTCGGGCAAGTCAATTTTCATGTGCGCGGGTAGTTGCCCTAAACGTTCATGGAGATGGACGGACCACTGACATGCGATATCATAGGACAGCAGCAAGGGAGGGAAGTCTTTGTAGTGTGACAGAACCGAAGCGATGATATAATCCATGTTACAGTACCTAGAAAAATAGTCAGCATCAGCATCGCTGAACAGTGGATGGAGCATACCTCTCCCCCTTCTGGAGGTCTCCAACTCCGGTCGGCAGTATGAATCCATGCCTGCCGTCGAGTGCCATGCCAACTCCAGTAGTGGCGAGACCCTTGCTGAAGCATCGGTCTGCCTGAGACAGGGCTTGCAAACCAGTGCAAGTGGAGATCTAGCAGCCACGTCAGCAGGCGCTATCAACAGGTGATTGAATAAAGCTCATCTCTTCCTCCTTTGCGTATGCCAGGACATGCTCCTTGTACTCTTTTCCGCTTACGAAAAATCCCCAGCTTGGGCCGAGAGGAGGGTCCCTGGCATCCGAAGAGACTGCACGGCGACGGAGCCGGAAATTGGCATTGATTGCGATCACCATTGTGTATACAAATCTAGACAAAGATTAGTATAAGCCTTTGTAACATCATTTTGAAACTTACTTCAATTCATCCGAGACATTACTCCAATTGTCCGGCAGGTTGAAGCCTGGGCGCAGACAAGCTGGGCATCTGACGCACAGCTCACCCGGTTTTGTCGCATTCACTCCACCCGGTTCGTGGCCGCGATTGGCACATTTGAGCATCTTGATGTGTCTCCATTCACGCACGACATGCATGAAGGATTTCAAGCAGTCCTATGAACGGCAGATCAGCATTGTAATGGCGGAAGGCTTGACCAAACTTACATAGCTCACACCAAGCTTCAGATTGTCAGTAAGGTACTGCAGGCTGAGATAATAATCGTATGGTGTGATCTTGCCTTGGAGCGTGAGCATGCTGAAGTGTTCGAGTACACGGTAGATAAAGCATGTGGTAGGATCGAAGAGGGTGGCAGGGTACAGTTCATAGTGTAACAATTGTTGAATAGTGTCACCAGCTTCATGAAGATGATTGCACTCACAATATCGTATGGAGATGGGATGAATACCATTCGTGTGAACCACTACGAAGTCATGTGGCCCAAGTCTCAGGTTGATACAGGCAATGCCAGGAGGGTGGCCAACTTGAAAGACCAGGCCAAGGTCTTTCAGTGTGATTTTGTCAAAGAACTGGCCATTCCAACGCCAATACATGCTGTTAACACCAAGTATGAAGGGTATCAAAGAGACATCACTGACCTGCACACGATGAAATGGGTTTGTGGCATGCACCAAGATGCAACAGCTATCACACAACAATGCCCCACCGACACAGTCTTTACACTGCAAGAGAGCCTCGCTGGCACTCTCACTTGGGCACCAGGAGCAACGAAACGTATTGTTCCCTCTGAGCCCTTCTGCGCGCAGTATTTCAGACAAAAAATTGTTGCGATGTGACAACCGCTCAGCAAGAAAAGCATCGTGCTCCTGTAATTATAGAATGTGAGTCGCAATCCAGTGCATCTAAGTGGCATTTAACTGACTGTAGTGGTGAAAAACTTGCTTGGAAGCCAATCAGGGTGATCTTCAACCATGTTGCAATTCTTGTCCGCAGGGGGGCCCAAGTCGAAGTCAAGCTCGTATATGATGACTGAGTTGTTATGCTTGTGTTGACGTGCTTGCTTTAACGGTCACTTGGAAGACAGCGGAGAAATGAAAAATGAGTGTCTGTGTTGAGCGACACCGCGACAATCAGAAGAAAGTGAGCCGACAAAGGCATACATTTCATGCTCAGAGAGTAGGGAGTTGTCCATCACAAACGAGAGTGTCGGCTCATCGACTTTCGCTGTTCATTTTGGCATTGCGCAGTTGGATGTCGGTGGGATACAGTGGCAGGATACATGACAAGATGGTATTAATTTTTGAGGGATGGTAGCACCAACCAGGTAGCTCCATCCTTACTGTCTTCGTAAGGCCACTAGCTGTCAGCGCTGTTATGCACTCGTGGGTACACGCAAAGGTGCCACAGTATGTGGCACGCATTGCAGCCGGCCTGTTCGGCAAAGGGTTAGAATAGGTACTCGCCTCCTAAGTATAGCTACGCACCAGACAGCTGAGCAGTTTGAGTTGAGCATAAACGACATCTTGTGAAGCTGGCAGGACAGATGTTCATGCAGAACATTCACATGCCCTAAGTGCTGTGATAGGTGGCATGTATTGTACGTTATCTGCTCATTGCTGTATTAGTATGGCCATCCAACTTCGAGAAGCGGCTACGCACCAGAGGGCTGGGTGATCAAGATATTGACAGCTGGTGAAAGTGGCAGAACAGGTGTTTGCATGCAGCATGTTTGCAGCCTTTGAGCACAAAATGTTGGGAGATGAGTCTCGCAAAGTACTACAGTCCTAAAAGGTGGATTGTCAGCCCTAGAATGAGCCTGAATGTTGCGCAGTGCTTACAGGACTCTTTGTGAGCGTGACACGACTAGGACGCTGCAGCTTCTCCTGCACATGCAGAGGCACAGATGGGTATTACGGAGAACATGATGGCTACCAAGGGCAATCTGTCATAAGAGGTGCAGAGGCACGAATGCGGAATCGAGTAGCTCAGGGACTGAACAAGGTGGCAGGCTGTCGTGGCTATGAGCTCGAACAGTCAGAGCTTAAACCACCTTCCAAACATGGTAATTGTGTCTGGTATGGCGCACCATATTCTGTTGTTCTACCTGACAACCTGGACTCCTAGGAATCGTATAGGCATTGTGTAACAGTATATAAACCTCAGTCAAATTAGTATTATATCTCTCAGAGCAAACTTGAGCTCGCAGGTTTGCTATGCTGCAGACAACTGTTGAGTAGTAGTACGAGCAACTCGGATGCCACTAGACCAGCAATTTAGACTGACTCATGCGTGGACTAACATACAGAGCTGGATTGATAGGTGAATTCTACGGCCCTACAGTATCAAGCTAATATGTGATTCGTAGAATATAATATTCCTTGTACTGCCTTCTGGTGCAGTTTGGTGGAGGCTTCACACAAGGACGGCAGCTTCACACATGCAGATCATCAATCAGACATGGATGCCTCAGTACATGCCTAGTATGACTGGTAATGCTGCTATACAAGTACTTGCAAAGTTGATACATACTATATAGACAAGGAGAAATGCAGCAATGTCGAGCAAAATCTTACCTGGTACCTGCATTACCACAAGTTGGAGCACCGTTGGTCTGTGCAAGGGTACCTGATTTGTGCATACTGCTCTCGTGTAGTATCCATTGTACCTTCTGCCATTCTGTAGCCTCTTTCATAAGTACTGCTTTTGATACTGATGAGGCACATATCCAAATGGCACTGCATGATTGAAATATCTTTTGGTGCAGCAACTGCCACGATATTTGTGAGATCTTGTTTACGAAGACCCCTGCAGCTGCAGAAAGGTCTGTTTGCCATGCTGCAGCTCAGAATACTAGTATGACCCCCATATAAGTGGCCCTGTGGCATGTATGTAAATGTAAATGCATGTTACACGACTATGCCTGACATTGTTCATGCTCCTTCACGAGAGGGACAGCATTTTGTGTCTGAAATTGCCATATATGGACCTCTCTAACAATCATACCAAGTCCAGGCTAGCTATGTTCTACGGCATGTGTACTACACACAAAACATAGTGTTAATAGTCCATAAATCATAAAATAAATACAGAAACAGATCTGCACAACTTTTAGACCTTAAAAATAGACCCCCTACCTTGTACCTTAGGTAGTATCCTAGGATAACTGGATTATATTAGGCGCAGACCAGTCAATTGAATCAATTTGATGCTCAAACTTGTTTGTCAGTGTAGCGTAGAATTGCGACTATACAGGCCCGGGAATTTGTCAAGTGTACACCATGTGGTCTAATGAGCTACCCAGGAAGTTTGACATTATCTTGTTAACAGAACGTGACTGCGCAAGAGATGAGCTGTTCGTCGCCTATTACCTACTATGGTTTGCCTATCTCATGTATTGTCTGGTAGCGCAGGTGATATTTACCAGATTTGAAAGCTTCGCTTGTAGTATTCATGCAGCAATATGCACCAATGCAGTCACAGTGAGTATGCACCGGCAGACGACGCAAACAAATGGCAGCACAGCGACACCTTCGAGATAGCAGACCTGCATGTTGCAATCATTGATGTTGTATGCAATGTGTTGCTATGTGCCATCCATGCTCCGTCCCATCTGCAGATCAAAATTTGATCCGAGTCATTTTGGGCTAATTTCTCATGAGAGCTATGATTGGGAAAGACAAGGATGCATACAGATATTCTACAAATAGACAGGCAGATATAAAAAGCAACAACAAGACTATTTAAAACATTTGTCCAAGGCAATAAACGACACGTTCGGTTCAAGAAATGATGCACTCGGTTGCACCAATGTCAGCTAGCATTTTCACAACCATCTGATCTCACTCCGTGCGCCCAGCAGCCCCATCATCTCTTTGACGTATGCTCGAAAAGAGCATGAGAACATCAGAGCATCGGGGTCAGAATTCTGATTGGCCTACGCAGTGATTATTATCTACAGAGGTAAGAGAAAAAATGCTGCTTACCCGTCATTGTAGATGCCAGGCCTAATGCCACATACAACAGCATAGACCTAGACGTCAACTTGTGGCTCGCCTACAGAGACCTGCAATGGAGACATGGAGGGAGGTGACAGTGCCAACATAGTCGAGGGAGGCAGCGTGGAAATGTCCTGCGATGGGACAGGGTTGAGCAGCAGGGATGAAGGGTCAAAAGTGCCCGAATCGCTGACCGATGGAGTCCAGCTCCTAGATGCCGAGTGCTCAGCAGTTGGAAGAGGGTGTCGGCGAGGACAACCAAACATATCGAAGCCGTAGGGCGCATACTGTGCACTCGACGCGGGGCGAGTGAATGGTGGTGGTGGCCATGATGAGGGGACTGGGCGACTGCTTGGAGAATGGGGGGACGATGGTGGTGCAAACAGTGGTGGTGATGTGGGCCATGGCAGTGATGTGGTCGGCCGCAAGGAGAAAGATGGTGGTGGCCTTGACGACACAAATGCTGCTGTCGGAGGGGTGTCACGAAGCATTTGAATGAAGCCGTGTGGAACTGCTGGCCAGTAGACAGTGGCAGAAAAGCCATTCAGCCCAGCCTCGTGGTTCTCACCAGTGACAGGTGGATCCACGCTGGACATGGGAATGGCTGCAGGAGCAGCAGGCATAGAAGCAGGAGCAGGGCCTGTGGGAGCAGAGGGAGCACATGCAGACTTTGCACCAGGCGCAGTGTGTGCAGGCGTTGCACCAGGCGTGGTGCGTGCGGGTGTTGCACTAGGCGCGGTGCGTGCAGTGTGTGTGGTGCGTGTGGATGTCAAACCGGCGGCGGCACGTGTGGTACGCGTAGGCGGTGAACCGGTGGCAGGAGCAGGGCTAGCAGCAGGGCTAGAGCTGGAGCCAGGGCTGGCGTCCAAGGACGGGCCAGCAGCGGAGGAGGGGTCAGCAGTGAGAACAGAGCTAGCAGCAGGAGTCGTTGTGTCAAGTTCCAGGCTATTTGCGGCAGTTGCATTGATGACAAGGAAAGCCGGAGGAGCCTCTTCGGGGCTGAAGCCGGGGAGGGTGAAACCGGTGACCGAGTGGGGCAAAATTGGTCCATGCACCCCGCCATTGATGCAGGCATCGATTCAAGCCCAGAACGCGTGGCAAAATTCCTTATAGCTTTGGTTCGCCGCATGCGGGTGTCCGGTTATCCATGACTGGGCCAGCAGCCTGGGCCCGGGATTAGATTGTAGGAATCATTTATACTTTAGTAAGTGACTTACCAATTTGCGGTGATCCCAGTGAATCTGCCATTCGTGACAATATGCCACTTGCCGCGCCAGTGGAACCCCACCCGAGGGATCGCATTATGCTGATACTGAACAGGCAGCATGTCCGTACTGCTGATTACAGTATGCATGGAACCGCCCCACATGCATAAATTATTGTAAAATGTCATCGAAGGTTGTACGTACTATATGCTGGCTGGCTGCACGTCATCGGCAAGTTGATTGACATTGTCCCTGCCACTGCCACCACCATCTCCAGCGCCATCACTGCCATGTGCATCGTCGCCCTGCTCACTGCTGCTTGTGTGATTGCTGCGCTCTTGCCGAGTCAGATCGCCATCTGCATTGCCATTGAAGCTGGAACTGTCGGAGTAGTCATTTGTGGAAGGAAAGCGGTGGCACAAGTGTTCATCTCTATTGTCGTTGCGACCAGCACCAGAGGAGGCAAAAGAGCCTGGCATTGTTATGCAGAGGGAGGTTGAGAGTTGTGGAGAAAGCGTGTTGGAATGCGAGACCTGCTGGACATGTTATTTATACCTGATTAATCAAGGTTTATGATGTACTCACTGAAGAGGAAATGGGTTTGCACATTTAGGACTGGGAGTTCCTGAAGTAGAAGTCGTATGAGCACGGGCAGGAGAACAAAGTTATACAAATAAACAAACAGAGCAAAGCGTTGCTCACCTTTTGCAGGGGCGAGACTTGGCTGTTGTACATGCGGATCGCCATACTGTCAATGGAGCAGGAGTCCCCCTTGCACTCACCACACTTTTCACCCTTTGAGAGCGAACAGATGCAACATATACATACCTTCAACATGTATTCGGCCAAGTAGGAGACAGAGAAGGCGGCCGACAAAGATATTGAAGGAGCACGAGAGGAACCAGAGGACAATGTTGATGGTGAGGAAGTGGATCATGATGAAAGCAAAGAGGAGGATGATGAATTTGAAGACGACGAAGATGAGGAGCCCGAATCTGAACCCGATGAACCACTGGCCATAGCAGTGGGCAGAAAAGCGAAGGCAACGGGCACTAAGAAGAACGTTTGCCGTGGCAACCCTGGTTGCTTCGTTGGCGAGCCGTACGAATATCTGGCACAGTACAAGGATGAGTACAACAGGATTCCAAAGAAGGGGAAAGGGAGAAACAAGAGGATTGGGAACTTCTGGCACCTGATCATCTCTGGATTTTGGAAATGTTTCAATCTCTCAATGTTTGAGGATATTGCTGGCTCAAAGGATAAAGAGGGAATTATCAAGACAACAAACAAGGTGAGTGTTGCAGCTATTGGAATAACCACAACTTACACATCGAGCAGAGTATCAAGAGGTTCTATTGATGGCGTGCGTGGGCTGCTACAGCTGACACGAACAACCCGTGGCAGCCGCTGTTGTCCCAACTCTGGAAACCAACAGGCTCTAAGCTGAGGCACACTCCTGGCTGGCTGCAGTTCACGAGCGTGGAGAAGGAGAGGGTACGCAATGCGGCGCTGCCTAGAAGCAACATAAACGTCAAAAATGCGTGTGCAAAAAAGATCTTCGAAGAAGAACTCACTGAGGAGGAGCGTCAGCATTACGAGGCCCTAGTCGACAGCATACTCGCAGACAAGTTGAAGCACTACGAAGCTGCGCAGCTGGGTTCTCCGTCTTCTGACCCTATCGAGCAGACGAAGTGAGTGATAGCGAGCTCTCGGGATGCCTCATTACTTACATGTCTCAGAGCATGCGACAGACTGGCGTCTGTACTGTCTCTTGTTCTGAAGATGGTCTTAGAATATACCGGAATGGAGGTGCTTACCTTAGTTAGAGTTCAATAGGTTCCTGAGATCAGCAACTTTGAGGCCAGAGCTGTTAATTTTGGAGAAATTCCAGGGGCGTTTCCAAAGAACTTTCTGCAGTGGGACCCCGACACATTTAAGAAGGTGTTTTGCGGACAGATTACACTGTTCGCAAAGGAAGTTTGGAGTGAGTAGCAATTTGAACATGGGGATTCTATAGGTAGGCTAACTATACGATGGTACAGAGGCTAAGCTTCAAAAGAAGGCTGGCGCAGAGGGGTCACAAGCCCCGGTACCTGTAGGGCTCACGCCTTCACATCAGACGGCTGCCACAGGCTCCTCTGCTCAACGTTCGGTGCACACGTTCTTCTTATCCCCTGCTGCGCAAGCTTCTCCCACTTGTTCCTCTCCATTGCCTTCGCCAGATCTGGAAGAAGAAGAAAGACATGTGAGCATAGAAGATGAGCCCAAGCTCACTTTTCCTGAAGGTGCAAACATCAATTTGTCTGCATTCAGACAATTGGTGTACACGCTGGAGCCCGGCCTGAGATGTGCTGAGATTGAGCGCTTGAATGGGCTCGCTCTCACGGCTCCCTTTGAGTGAGCTCGCGAGGCAACTATTGCCAGCAATTGCCAGCTCATTGCATCACTTGGCCTGAACAATGGCCCGTTCGGCTCCCCTTGCAATGGTGTGAAGCGGCCCAGGCCAAAGTTTAGGCCGAAGCTAAAGCTGAAGCCGACCGCAACAACCCAGCCTTGCAGATCATCCACCAGGCTCAGCAAGAATGCTGCCGACGCCTCAAATGCAGAAACGTCAGGAGAGCATTTGGCGGATCAGTCATCACCTGACCCTCTTCAAAACCGCAGCACCACTCCTAGAAGCAGCTTAGTAAAGCCCTCCTCTGCACAGAATGACAATGACGAGTCGAATCAGACGTTATGCCTGGGGCCAGACCATGAGCACCGTGTATCCAGAAACCTACAAGCTGTCACAGTGAGCCCGAACTGGCCCGACTTCATCCAGAAGCATTTCCCCCGCCTGATGCGAGAAGAATTACCACCTGCAGAAGCTGCGACATGGCAGGATTGCATGCGGGCGTGGGTTCAGCTTGAATCACTGTTCAGCTTCCAGAAGGCAGTAAGTGGCTCGGCCATTCTGCAATGGATCTAGCTGACAATCAATACAGAAGGTTGGGCTGCCGTGTACCTCTCGACCTCCGGAGATCCAACATTGGACCTGGTATGCACACGCCGATCGCATTGTTTCTACTGACACTGCCCGCTATGCTGCAAAGTTCTGGCAATGGTGGGATGCCATCAATCCCACATGGCGCGAATGCCAAAACAGTCGCCTGGTACAAGGTGGCCAAGGCGACTGGTCACCGCTCTTCAAGCATGGCAACAACAACTTTTTGACCGTGCTGTATGCCGCGACAGCGCTACGTGATTCACCTGAGCTCAACGACTGGTCTGCCGCCCTGCAAGATATTTCGTGGGTTCTGAAGCAAGTAATTGCTGCAATGCAGCAACAGGGGTATATTGTCATAGCTACTGCGCTCTGTACATGCTAATAATACACGCAGAATGAAACGCTCTGCAGAAGGTAGCAAGAACAGCGGGGACACAGCCACAGAGAATGCCGATGACACTGGCAAGAGCGCCGGAGAAGGCCGTAAGAGGGCTAGGCACAAGTAATGGTCACCACGTGTTTATTCCATGCCTGTTTGCCACTGTTTGGTCCTGTCTTGAACAATATAACACTGTTTCTGATGTAAATCTACCATTTGAGACAGCAAAACCCCTCTAGTACCAAAGACAACCATTTGCAAATATGTTGTGGCCACTTTGGGTATGTTTATTGATGCAATTTGAAGTTCGCCAGAGCCACTGAACAGGCTGTCAATGAAGTACCAGAGCTTGTGAAGTATTGCAATACATTCTGTGGTCAGGATCGAAAAGTATTGTGTTACTTTTCGGCCCAGGGGTGATACGAAGACCTTGGCACTGCGAATCTGCCATACCACGAACATTGTGCCAGCCCGCATCCGCTGACCACCAACTCATTGTCTGTCCACCTGGGACCACTGACAGCCCTGCTCATATGCGCTGCCAGGAGCTGCCACTGTAGCCATCTTCGCTGATGAACCCACTGCGGCTGCTCGCAATGCAAACCTGGGCCTGTGTGCTCCAGCCACTTCCAAGTTGCAAAGGACGTATACACAGCATAGTACGGATCACGGCAAGGACATACCGCTGTCAGTACCGTGCGGCGCACAGAATTCTGTCTACCCTCCGTCAACTGTCTGCATGGTGTGGCAGAGCCCAGGTGCGCGCATCGATAGAACTACCGATGGCACAGACCTAACGCAGCTTCTGCTGTAGATGTGTTCGTGCCATCTGTCCTCAATCAAACATGTACGGCTCTGGACACAGTACGAGATTGCGGCCTGTTCGTATTTCAAGCACTTTGGCACCCCTGATGTCTGCTACCCAGATGTCAAAAGCGAATGCAGCTTTTGATAGACATCTTGAAGTGGAGGTCAAGGAGCAGAAGTGGAACAAAGGCCTGTAGTAGGCCCTGGTCAGTGGATGGCAATTCAGCATGACTTGTGATACATCCTGACGATATCCCAGGTGCAGTGCTCTTGGGCACACAGGCGCTTGCAAGACTTCCGGCATCTAGTAGTCTCATATTTAAATGCCAAGTTCTTCGATGTGAAGACGACAGCAGAAACGCTGTCCGGTGCGCGTAGGGAGGCATAGACTTGATATATTGGCGGATACAATGCGCTACAGAAGAAATTGACTCAACGTTCACTGGCAGCCATGCCTCAGAGGGCATCCCAGAGGAAAGGAATGGGGAAACCGCAACGGCCGCCAGTCAGAAGGCTTCGCCAAAGGGGGCCATCTTTGCCATTGTGACAACAGCGAGATTGGGTCTGAGCTGTTGCCAGGTGCACGTGCATCTAGTGAGCGAAACATGTGAGTAAATCCACTAGTACTGCACGCATTTATGTTGATGCACCTGGCAGATGCACAAGGCGCCCCTGGATAAGGCCTATCCGAAGCGCCTGGGACACTAGCCAGTGACGTGCAAAAGTTGTCGAGCCTGAAATGCGCAGTGCTGAGGGGGAATATCCTGTTGAGGTCAATTGGGAGATCTCTGAAGTCCATGAGCTGCAACAAGTGTATGATGGCAAAAGTGCGTCATCGTTGTAGGTCGCACAAGCAGAGGAAGAGGAGGTGGATAACATTTGTGTGTGTCATGTTGCGCGTGCACCTCAGGCAGTGACCTCCTTAACATTGCCTTCAGAGTAGAGTGTTGCTTGGCAGACTAACATTGAGTGCCGTGGCAGCGATCACATGCCATCTGATTGTATGAACCTTAATGAACCTCAAAAATGACGGTATGGTGGATCTGGTGGGGAGGGTTGAGCGGCGCAATGAGCGGTCACAGTCGTGACACGACGCTCCGGCTACACAGAAGTTTACGATACCCCGCGGTCTGACCAATGGCTGTCCTGCTGGCATCGTCTTGTCACAGCAGTGAGTTATTCTATCATTCGCTCGCATCAGCAGGAGCCCTGTATACCGGAAGAAAACAGGACGCATCATATCAATCAGCACACTGGCCTGTCCAGGAAGCTGATTGCTGCCAGGTGACGACCTGTGCTTGCTGCAG